ACACACACACACACACACACACACACACACACACACACACACACACACACACACACACACACACAAAAATACCCTGACTTAGTACACCACCCACAACTGACAACATATGTCACTAAAGAAATTTCATTTTCTGTGGAAAACAAAACGCAGTGTGAACGCTGTGTGTTACTAAAGTAGCTGAAAGCAGAACCCTAGCTAAAAAACAAAAAACTCTACCCATGAACAAGGACAAGCAAAACACTGGCTCAAAGCTGAAAGTAGCAAAATACTAACTAAAACATAAAACAACAAAAAACCTGATTAAAAGCTTAAAAAAGCTGAACACTAGCGGAAAACTCTAATTAACATAACACTAGTTCAGAGTAGCAAAATGCTAGCTAAAAGTAGCAAAAACTAGCTACAGTTAATAAAAAGATGCCTGAAAGCTAAAAGCAGCAAAGGGATAGCTAAAAGAAGCTAAATAATAGCTAAAAGCAGCAAAATGCTAACTCAAAGCAGCAAAAGGCTAACTAAAATTAGCAAAAGACTAGTTCAATGTAGCAAAAAGATAGCCCTTTTCAACCYAAAGGCTAATAGAAGCAAAGTAATAGGAAAAAGTAGCAAAGGGCTAGTTAAAAGTAGCAAAAAGTTGGATTAAAGTAGCAAAAGGCTAGCTAAACATTRTAAAGCACTAGCTAAAAGTAGCAAAAAGATACATAAAAGTTAAAAGAAGCAAAGCAATATGTAAAAGTAGCAAAGGGCTAGTTTAAAGTAGCAAAACACTAGCTCAAAGTGGCAAAAAGCTAGCTAAAAAACAAAACAACACAAGAAAACAATAGTGTGAAATGAGCATGCACACCATTCTGTGTCACACTCAGAGGCTGATTGAAGGTTGAATGTCTCCAGCTCCCTGTGGATCACACCCGCTGCTGACCAGGGGTTGACTGCGATTTGTCTCGTCGGACCCAGTATTTGTGTGCCAGTCAGTGAACCCAGCATCATGATGGATGATGCAGGCTACAGAAAATCTTTATCTGTGTCTGCCTCTTGTATACAGAAAGAGACACACATCATCTGTGCAAACACTGAGGTGTCTGTATGTAAATGTCTACAGCTGCTCTCACACACAAAGGAAGCCTTTTTTTTACAGCTTGTGCATTTTTTTTACACATGCACCAGGTTTAATAATMACCACACACTGAAATACACACTTTGTGTCATGTCAGTCACCATTTTTAAAGCGCYGTGAAGCCAAACAGGTATTGAACTGCAATCAACAGCAGCAGCACTTGTTTGCAGTCACCTGCGGGCTTTTTTAACGCGTYGCAGGAAATGAGTTTGACCCGACTGCTGGGCTGTACCTTGGAGACGCGATCAARGTAAACAACAATATTCAGCATGTCAGCACTGCTGGGGAAACCATGATATACAATCTGACACAGGCGGTAGTTCATGTAGTTTGTGCTACTTCAGATTTTTACGTCTTACAGTGATCATCTGAACCACTGCACTCAAACTGATTTACACGCGTCAACATCTCCATGACTGACACCTGAGCCGTCCGTCTTCTGAGGCAGCTGYAATCTGCTTACTGTATGTCATTCATGGATGCATGGCGTCAAATCCTTCTGTGTGCATCAACACATAYCCTTAATCTCCTCGCTCGCAGAAACGCACACAGACACAAGGCGTCTCATCGGAAAACATCGAGGTATTCATCTCACGGGTGTGAAGTCTCGATTTGTATCGACACAAAGACAAACACCTGTCTGCATACTTTTATATTTGGAGATAAGAAATTAAACTATTTATACAGCGGGTAAAATAAGTATTGAACACGTCAACATTTTTCTCAGTAATTATATTACTAGAGGTGCTAATGACATGAAATTTTCACCAGATGTCGGTAACAACCCAAGTGATCCAAATCATACAAAGAAATCAAACCATAAATGTCCAGAAATGAAGTTATTTGTAATAATGTGGAATGG